CAGTGTTGGAGCTTTTAAAGACTGGTCTCGGTCTCGATGTTTTAAAGGTTTTTCGAAAAGGATACGGCTAAATTTAAAAGTTTTAATAGTATTAGACCAGTCACCTACCCTGGATTACTAAGTGCGAAATACCGATTACGCAGCAGTTTATACGAGACACGGTGTAGTATGTTTTACTAGTAAAATCTTCTTAGTACCACAACTTTGGAATGATGTTTATACTTAGAGCACTTCTCTTTTTGTCAAAAGATTAGTAAGGCAATATTTTACCTCTGTGAAACCATATGGACTATCCAATTAAATTCAAACTTTGTTAAATGTCTTTACAAAGCATCTTTTAACAGACTTGACAAAACTTTTCCCACAATGACGTAAGACTAATTGGCCTATAACTTTTAAATTATCATTTTTGGGTGATAATATAGTGTAATTGGTAATTATTGGCTTCAATGCTCTGTTATCACAATGATTCCATAAAGTTAACTTAAAGTTACAAAATGTTTCGAATAATTTAACATAACAAAGTGATTTAAAGGCATACACATGGGTATCTAAGCGCTTTCACCATACCTTGTCAAAAGCCACAAGTTGGTTTTTTTATTCTTCAAAATAAAAGCGGTCAATATGGCCGCCGACCCGTGTCCTTATGTATATAGGGGCTTAAAATTAAAATCCAAGCAAATAGGATTTTTATTTATTAATAAAGGGCAATAAAATTTTATTTAATTAAATAAATTAATATATAGCATAAAACAATAATACGCTCAGAAATTGCAAATAAAAGGTATATTTTAGTAACCAGTTAATATAATTCACTGATATAAATATGCGAAACAAAAACAATTTCAAGTAATTTTTACCTGATATAAAAAATTTAAAATAAATGAACTTTCACCACAAACTTCCAATAGTCAAAGCGTGAAAGTTTGTTATAGCTATTGAATAATTAAGGAATAAACAGAAACTAACCATATTTATATAATATAACTTACAGTATGCAAACATTTTTGTATCATCTTTAAAATATTTTAGCATGAGAGATTCAGAAGCAGAATTCTTAATTCAATACGTTACAAACAGTAGGATCGTAAAAGTCACGGAATAAGAAAATTTTGAAAACATAAACCTTAAAAGTCTTGATGTGTTGTAAGCTATATTTTAATTTCTTAATTTAGATATTTGTTTGCTAGAGGGAGCATACGATTACGTCATTTGACACAATACCTGAAAATTCCATGAAAGTTAAGGTCTCTGTAAAATCCAGAAATTTCGTTTAGTAACTAGGACCAGGATTACAATACACACATATATATATATAATATATATACAAATTTAGTGAAGTAACTAGTTAATGAGTAATCAGTTCAGTGTCAGTTTGTGTGTTAGACAGTGAGAGTTACTGCATTTATTTGTCTGCAATTCAATTATTTGGTGAGTTACGAAGTATGTTTCTTATCAATCAATTATCATGGAGTAACTTTACTTGAGATATAGACATACATTAATTTTGGCGTTTCTGTTGAAAAATTTCTTTGTGGGCGTAGCCTGTAGCAAACGTTATTGCAAAAGTATTTCTTAACGTTATGTGAATTGGACTTTGCATTATGTTTGCTAAATAATCCAAAACAACCCACCAAACAATATAACAGGTAAACAGTAGTTTTCTTATGACTCTAACTTTTTGATTAATTTATTTCAAAAACTTAAAAATCAACAGGTGAATTAATTAAATTCGCAATAACAGAAAGAGCTGAATTTGCTCAAATTATGTTTAAATAAGTGTGATTTTGTTATTTATTTATGCTTTGAAGAAGGGGTGCTATCACTACTCCTACCTACTCAAAATGTTCAACAAGCAATAAATATTTTATGAACAGTAACAGTGAAATAAAACGAAAATTTTTTAATTCTAATCATGAAGATATTGAAATAACATTTGTCCCCCAGTGACACAGCGATATGTCTGCGGACTTACAACGCTAGAATAAGGGTTTCGATACCCGTGGTGGGCAGAGCACAGCTAGCCCATTGTGTAGCTTTGTGCTTAATTACAAAGAAACAAACAAACGAAACAAAGAAATACTATTTAATTAATTTTCTGTCTAGGTAGTTTAGGTGGTGCTGTTTGATGACCATTGGAATTTTGAGCGGCCTTAAAGGACAATTTCTCACAATATGTGTCATTACTAAATATAATGTTATGAAATCAAAACATTTAATCCCTAGTTGAACTTCCGTGACAGCTACCTCACCATTCATTTGCTTTCTCTTTTTATTATATTTGATAGGCGGAATATCCCAAACTCTTTTGGATGCTATTATCGCAGACATTTTCCTTTAAAAAGTATATTTTTATACTCTATTGACAAATGGTATGATTTCTAATTTTATTTCATGAATGTAGTTAGTTATTCATGAAATTTTGATAAGTTAATAGGGTTAAAATTTGTTATGAGTAATGACTTTAGTTTTAAATTTCAGTCTTAGACATCTAGGTTTTAGTTTGTTACATATATACGTAGTTGCCAAAATTTTCTCTTTAGCTTGTCTAACACATAAAATAGCTTGGTGTTATGCAAGTCAAAACTCAGAACATCTTTAAGGCTAAGTTTCCACGTTTCTTTGGAATAGGCAATGTCGAATACCAAAAACAAAGCAAACACATTGGAAGATACTTCTATGGTACTTATTGGGTCAGCAATAAGTAAAAGAGGATTAATGTTGTTCCTGCTGGGTCAGAGGATCTAAACAAAAAGAGTTATCAGCGTTATATATACACATTACAACTATATAGAAGTAAGTGTTTATTACATTAGGACTTTTATCTGAAATACTATTATATATCTGTAACATGAGTTACAGTTGTATTTTTTGTAAAATTCTCTACTCTTAGACATTATGTAACAATGTTTACAGGATTACAATCCTCAGCCACAATGGCTAAGGTTTCTTTTACAAGAACAACCAGACACTGTAGGACAGCAAAATATGTTAGATTTGACAGTACAAACGCTGCAGGTAATGTTTATATATAAACCTAAAACATAATGTCTTTCTTGTAGAGACTATTTTGGTGATTGTTGTTGTTCTTATAGGAATTTCTCAAATTTATATTAAATCAATATAACACTTAATCATCTCACCCATCAAGCTAATGGTGTGCAACAGTACACAAATGGAAAATAAATCAATACGAAAAATAGGGCAGTAAAGGCAATACGTGGTTGAAAAAAGTTCAGACAGTAAATGGTGCGAATGTGTGAAAAAATAAGATTGTACATTTTAGAAACTTACATCTTTATGAACAATGGTACATACAGTACATAGTAGGGAAGTGTAGAATGTGAAAAAATGAAATAGTGAAGACATATTCTTACTACATACAAAGAAACTTTCTATCTTTGTAATGGAAAGACTAACATGTCTGTCTGTTTCTCTTTCTAAAGCTCCTTTTTTTAAATATTTTGAAAATTTAGGGCTAAACGATATTTTTGACCTCAGCTCAAAAATTATTGTGTGGACAGCCCCCTCCTCTTTGTTTGTTTGTTTACAGTTAAGCACAAAGCTACACAATGGGCTATCTATGCTCTGCCCACCACAGGTACCGAAACCCGGCTTCTAGCATTGTAAGTTCGCAG